AGGTGTCAAGCAGATTCTCGCGCATGTCACCAACGCAATTCTCCTGACAGAGATAGGCAAAAAAAAGAGGAGGCTTTCGTTCCCAGGATCCTCATAATTCAAATAGGCTTACCCTCTGAATTTAATCGAATGCACTTACCAGTGAAGTTCAACTATGCTACAACCATTAAAAAAATAGTTAGTCTATTTCTAATTATCACTGGCCTAAACCTTATTTTACGCATGGACCATTCTATGTGGCATCAAGAGTTACATCCCGAAGCAACCTTTTCATATTGGCTTTCAATATGTGAAGCATTATTACTATCTACCAAAAAGTCTTGTTAAATTAATAGAAAAGCTTGTTTTATGAAACAGAATAGTTTTTATGTATAAACAGTCTAAGTAATCATTTTGTTATTGATGTTGTTACATTGTGTAATATAAAATATTTTTAAGATATTTTTAATGTTTATACGTTCTTTTTTAAAGATACAAATATATAAGTAAATGTTCTGTTTATAATAAACAGTGTTAAACAACATTTACCGGCCTGAATGTCCGAGAAATTTTCATAGAAAATATGCGCCCTTAAAATAATTCTTAAAAAATAATTGTCGGAATATCCTGACATTTTTTTTTTTTGTGCTTATTAAAGATATTTTTGAAACAATGTCGCATATCCTTGCAAATATTCTTTATCAAAATGCACCGATTTCTATTTATAGAGATTTTTACGGTAATACAGCAATAACCGCACATCTTAGCGAGATATATGTTAGCGAAATATATGTTAGCGAATTTTCCAGAAGTAGTCTTGCCTGTACGGCGTTGAGAAAGAGATTGAAGTAGAAATACCTGCTTATGGCCGACAACAGCGCAGTTTCTTTTTTCGATTCTATTAATAATTTTTAGATACATAGCAGATGCATCATACCAGACAGGAGGGACTCTTTCCGTGGAAGCCAGGAGAGTCTCTGCCGTTACTGCATGCTGGGGTTGAGGAACTCTATATATATATATATATATATATATATATATATATATATATATATATAGACACAGAGAGAGAGAGATAGATATATAGACAGACAGAAAGACAGAGAGAGAGACAGACAGACAGATAGACAGACAGACAGACAGACAGACAGACAGAAAGACAGAGAGACAGACAGTGTCAGAGACAGAGAGACAGACAGAGAAAAAGAGACAGAGAGAAAGACAGAGAGAAAGTGTATATCTTTTCCATTTATATAACTGATTACCACGCCACCCGGTGGGTGTTAAGCAATGTTTCTGGGAGAAATTAATTACCCTATTCTTAAAAATCCTCTAATAACTTTAGACAATAAAATACTTGAAAGGACTTTACATATTCGTTTTTCCCTTGTTTTGTAGCTTCTTCAGTGGAGAGCCGAGTTCAAATTCCGGTTGGGTTCGTAACATTCACTTACGCACAAATATCCTTGAGAAAGCTATGAATCCATCTCCCTCCCCAGATATATGTAAAAAAACAAAACATTTTTTAATCTCAAAAAGTTATTAAGGCAATACTTATAAAAGAAGAATTATTCTTACAATTCAAAAACTGTTTCGTTTTCAGGTTTAAGTCGTAAAAATCAAATCAAAATCGAAGCAAGAAAGAAATCGCTCCTTCAGTGTAATTGCTCAAAGAAGAGCAATTGTTGGCAAGGCCTCCACAAAGCAGGAATATAGGCAATATCTGTTAAGTACCATGTTTTTTAGATGGACAAGACATATCAGTGGACAAAGTTCTGAGTTTACTTCAACATCGAGGACTGTTTTCCACCCTACCACCACTTTCCCCTAACTGAAAATTTACAATCCTCTCTCGCTGCTCTACGTCTATTTTCATCGCAAATATTCAGGTGAAATTTATTTATTAATTCTACCAGTCGAGATCTTCACAGCTAGGACCCGTCATACCAAACACGCTGAGTCGCTATTCCCTTCATATTCCATTGGTGACGAGTAAATTCCAAGGCTTATTTCTTTGAACTGTTTCTATATAGAACTAACTTCGGAGAGGATGCTTCCCTGATTACTAGAATTTCATTCTCTTCAAGCCGGTGGTCAAACATTATCTAGCTTATATATCCTCATAATACGACATCTCTTGCTCCCTCTCTATACGTACTTACAACATTACTATTCAATAACCCTCTAGCTTGAGTGGCACTTAGGTCTTGTATTGGGCGAACAATAGTAAAACAATGTTTGAAACTTAATTAAGTTGCATGAAACTTCATGTAAGAATTCCATACTCTTATATTGAGTAAGTTCTACTAAGCTTAGCTTCACTTGACACTAGTTAAAATAAAGATTATGCTTCGCCAATCTTGAAAATTGGAAGACATTGATTACTTCGAAAATTAACCACAAAATTCTGCTACCTGGGTTTGAACACTGATCACTGGCTTCGATGGGAAAGACGCCTCATTTTTAACCACGAGCCAACCCCCTTCTTCATATCTACCAATTCTGATCAAAAAAAAAAGAGCAAAAACAAACGTGCCTGCTGTTACCCCCATCAACACTCCAATTCATCTTACACCTTTGAACTTCCAGGCCCCGGTGCTTTTGTTCATCCATTAAGTTCCTCCATCCCAGGACACGAAAATAATTGTATTTAAATAGTCTGAATTAATAATCCATGATTCCGATGTGGTCAGTGTGTTTTGCTGATGGCTGGGTGACGTGAACGAGGTACTAGCTTATTGTCCCTTCATTGTCGGGTAGAGGAAATGTGGAAAGGACAACTGAAGAGGTATCTGGGTAAGGAAAAAGCTTAATTCTCTGAAATCATCCACCCGTCTTAATTCAATGAGTATCACCTGCAAAAACTCTTAACAGTACATTCATAAAATATGAAAAAAAAAATAATTGTGTTTCATGACTCACTTGGTAATGACAAGGAAGACGTCTTCGCAGAAGAACTTATGACCGGGCAAACAGGCGATAGACAAGGTGTTACGCAAAAGATCTTTAAATAATTATAGCCATCATTCGTTTATAAATGTGATTATAATAATTTTTAACGATTGAAACAATTTAATTAAGCGAGACCATGATTCAGGGGATATTGGCCTCGTGACTTTAAAAAGAAATTTCACATGAAGTTTACCTTAGATTTATCGTCTAGTCTTCAAACTGTCGGCATAATCAGAACTTATCCATGTACATTTTCTCGCTTTCAAATGCCATATATATTTCACCCCCCCACCAAGACAATACACATAATTACTAATTAAAATGACAGGGATTCTTCTGCTATTTGATGGAGAATAGGAATTTCATTTTCAATAAAATAGTGTCTCTCCCTTTATGAAATCAAGCCGATTTGATTTATTCCGATAGGGATTATTTAAAGACAATATTTTTGTCAGCAAACTGATTATATTTGTACAATTGGTAATAGTGAGATTAACCGTTTCCATGCAGCAAACATTCGGCGTTCATTGACCAAACAGTTAGCATAAAATTAGCATGAAATTTATAAAAAAAATTTTATTAAAATAGTTTTTCAAGAAACTGACTTCTAAAATCCACAGCTCTTTTGTGTATTAACGGGAGTTTCCTTTTAATCCTTTTGTTTTTGGTAGTGAAGACGTTCAACAGTTTAAATATATCATTATTTTCTCTACTAGTAAAATACCAATTTTTGTTGCTGTTAGCAATCTTCAAGTAATGCTTTTTTTTGTTATTTAAACAATTTATTTTGATTTTTTTTTTCTTTGCTATTTTGTAGCACCAATCTACATGAATCGAGTTCCGATTATAGAATTAATTCATTTGTAGCCATTTTTAACCATTGATCTGAGAAAACAATTGTATTCAGTTCGTCCACACATGTCGAGGCTATCATCAGTTTAGACATTTCTAAACGAGTTGGACGCCATGAATGTGGTCGATATGAAGGTTTTAATTGTAAAGAATTTTCACGTAATTACAAGCTATGTTTCAATGAGGAAAGAAGAAGAACATTTTAAACATTTTAAAGAACGCATTATTCCAATATAAACATTTGCATTCCTGTATTTGTTCTAACAATTATTCTTTACTACCATATTACCCATCAAAAATGATGCTTGGATTGACATTGGTGCATTGAATAAACCTATACGTGCATTCGGGATCAGAGTGTGATATCTGTGCGGCCTTTGAAAAATTTGCACGCGCACTCACATGCACAAGCACACATACAAACATAAACGCCCTATCGTACACGTGCACACACGCACATACGCACTCAGATTTAGATACAGACTGCATTTTATATATGAGGATTATAAAAGTGTTTAATTAAACTTCCAATAAATAGCTGAACTGCTATTAACAAAATGAAGATTATGGGAATGGGATCATTCTACATATACCTTTCCCAATTGAATTCATATATCGCTGAGTAGCCAGAGGGTTACACCTAGAAATTGCTTCTACGAATAATTAACTTATTTTTTTTTTTTTTCATCCATGGCCCGAGGATTCGCATCGGGATGCCGGTCTATGCATGAGCAGAAACTCTTCTTTCTCCCAGGACGTATTCAAAGAATGAGAAAGCCGGTAGAAAACGGACACTGCCAATCACACGTGCCTTTCTCAACGAAGCACGAAGACCTTTGCCGACCCCCAAAATGAACGAAGCGGCAAATAAATCGTTAAAAATGTAGAGGGTTCCTTCAGGGAGTCTTTTCCGAAGTGAATGAGTGGGAATAGATTTAAATAACGAGCTTTATCGACCCATTCAGATAATAAACTCGGATGAAGTGACCCGTTGCTTAGTTAAACTAATATCCAAACTTTGAGATAGCTGGATAAAAAAAAAAAATTAAGAACGGACTGGTAGAGGGTGAAGTTGAAAATGTTATCCTGTTCACTATCCACCTCGACCACCCACTCTTCATTCCCATAAATGTTTATTTGTTCACTGTTCACTTGGACGTGCAACACTCGAAAATGAACGTTCGACTAATACGAGTCTCAGGTTTATCTTTTTCACAATGAGTTACGCATATTTTGAAAGCAATTCTCTCTCTCTCTCTCTCTCTCTCTCTCTCTCTATCTATCTATCTATCTATCTATCTATCTATCTATCTCTTAGTATATTCATATCTATCTATCTATCTCTCAGTATATTCATATCTATCTATCTATCTATCTATCTATCTATCTATCTATCTATCTATCTATCTATCTATCTCTGTCTCCTCTTTTATCTCCCTTAATTCTTTACGCTCTTCTCCACTTCCTTCCGCCATCACTTTCTAACTCTTTGTCAAAATTTCTCCTATCCCTATTCCCATTATTTCACCCTTTCTTTTTTCTATTTCTATCGCTTTCATTATGTTTTTTTTCACTGTGTCTCTTTCTACAGATTCAGAACACCGAATCTTGTATACCAAACAATGAGTGCTAATGGCGTGATTCAGAAAGAGTTGCATAAAAAGAATTCGGCAAATAAGGTTCTTTTATGTGCAGTTTTTCTTCCAAACATAGGCGATCATGGCTCTCTACAACTTCCTGCCTTTTGTTGCTCTACGTATATTTTAACTCTTTACCAAGCCTCTTCATCCTTTGTCCAGCTATCTATTCATACATCATCATCAAAGAGCTTACTCGCTGATTCGCTCGTTGATTCGCTTGCCTTCAATATATGTCCCGTGAATCGTTGTTTCCTCATTATGCATCCCAGAAATATCCACATTGTCTCATTTTCATTGTAAGTAGTTTTAATTTAAGGAGATTGAACATAAAATAGGCTGTAGTTTCCCCCAATGCCTCAACATAATACACAACGAAAACATTAACCTAAGAAGTTGCGTTATGTTAGTAAATAGCCTTGTTAGATCGAGCCTATCATATGTATGTCATGCATAGCGTCCAACCTGTTCAAAAATGTCTATACTATTAGATATATACAACAGTCTTCTCGGATCAGTGACTGAAAATGGTTTCGAGAACTTTTTAAGAGGACCATTCTTCCTCAGGTGTCGTGGAATTACACTAAAGAATAAAAATCAAAGAACGTTAAAAAAAAAATAACACAAACCACATCACTTGAGGATTTTCAACAAAAACAACAACTAAAATAAATATCACATGTAATTCGAGGGGAGAATAATAATCAAGATGTTGGCTTTCCACACTACTTCAAGCAAAAGATTAAGCGGGAAACCGCCATCAAATCTAGAAAGAGCCCTAATAGTGAACTTGAGAAACCTATTTTCCTGAAAAAACTGTTTTGGGAAAAAGATTTTATAAATTTCAATGCTGTTCGGTCAATGAATGCCAAATGTTTCCTTATAAGGAAACGGCTACTTTCACCATCACCATTTTCGTTAAAACTTATTTGCTCACATGTTTGTTCCATGGTATTACCATTATTCTTCGATAGAGCCACATCTCCGTCGCCTCGAGTCGCTTCTTCATAGGTGTCCTGTGTATGACGATCAACTACATCCGGTGGCAAGGCCTCTGATCGGCAGATTGGAGATTTTGAGAAGCGTAGAATCATCTCTTCATCGCTGTTTTTTCCCAGATTCATCCTGACCCTGGGTGGCAGCACCTGTTAGGTTACTAGCTATGGGCAAATAGTTAACCCCCAAAACACTATGAAAGTATAAAAATACATTTTTATAGTAAAAATTACCAGCAATACCGTTTTCAAAAAAAAAAAAAAATTAAATAATAAGGCTAATAATACTAGCAATACATATTTGTAAAAGAAATTACTAATGCTCCTAAATTTCGGGATTTAATGACCCATTAGGTATTGATATGTCGCTAAACGAAGAAAGAATCAAACAATCTTCATAGGTGAAGGAAATGTCCAGCATTCACTACCATACAGAAGACATAGCATTTCTTAGATTTTAATACTTTTTTTGCTCAATTTTTGTTTTGCTGCCTATATTCCTTTCTTCTCGCTTTCTTTTTTACTATTTTATCCTTTAAAAATGCAGTTAGAAATGAAAGAATTTAAATTAAACTTTTCGAAAAGAATGTTAGAGATTTTATTTTATATATATGTATATATACTTGTTTATATACCATTACATATATATTTCTCTACATAATCTTTTTATGTTCTTTAGTTTCGTTCTATTTAATTATCAGCATCTTTACACTATCCCCACCTACAACAGATTTCACTCTAGTATGAGTGGCCGTATTTATTTTTCTCTATCACGGGAATTTTTGATCTATTCTTCCGATCGCATAGGGAGGCTCTCTCTTGTCTGAAAATCGTTGCTTTGATATTCACACCTTCATTGGACCAATTTTCATTATCAAATTATAGTATTTCATAATTTAAGTGAAGATACGGGAATTAATAGTCAGTTAAAACTTAATATTAAAACCTCAAATAGATTCCTTTTCTACTTTCTGCACAGTCAATAAACAGCCTGTAACTGAAATGGGATTTTGGGGATGAAAAACCCATTAGCACTTTACGAGCTAATTTCTTGTTTTAATCATGTATAACTAATCTATTACATTAGAGTTGGGGTGGCCCTTACTCTCCAGTTTCTTATGAAATATACAATTAATATGATGACCAATAAACATAGATTACAAATACCAAATTTAAAGATATTCTTGGAGGTACAAAGTTCGATTAATTCTACAAAAATATATATCTAACTATATTTCTGTGATGAGGCATTGTAACTAATTATACTATTTACATCGTTCGGGTATATTTATTGGGTCGGAGAGTACAACAGCTGAAACATCGTTAATATGGCAAAAAAATGAGTCCAAACGATGTAAATATTGCAAATAGTTATAATACCTCAACTCAGAAAGAAAGACAGATCCTGAAGAAGGCCGGAGCGCACAACGGCCGAAACGTTGTGAACATGACAATAAAGAAGATGACAACAGTCCAAACGATGTAAATATTGCAAATAGTTAAAATACCTCATCTCAGGAACATAGATCCTGAAGAAGGCCGGATTGCACAACAGCCGAAACGTTGTGAACATGGCAATAAAGATGAAGACAATATATAGTCTAAATAAAAATAGATATATTTATTAAACTGAGAGGAAAATGGACAGATGTAACCACCACAAATGGCAATTTTAAACATGAAAATAAAATAAATAAAGCGTGAGAAAAAATAGAAAACTGGCCGGATCTTGCTCCTCCCTCTCTTTAGAGCAAGTAAACAAAACAGCTGTGCCCCACAACAACAAAAAAGAGAAGGAAGAGAATTGAAGTTAAGAAATATACATATCTAATACAGATAGATGTATATTTATATTATATACTGAAACCCAACAATCATTCTTTTTTTGTTTACCTAAAAAGGTTGCTTAAATTTGATAAAAATCGCCTCCGAAAGTTTTAGATGGAAGCTTGAATGTGAACAGCTGCTCTACATACGGAACATAATATCATGGTAGGCAAAAGCAGATTGCTGATTAATAATAAGATATTCAGAGATTGCAAATTCGTGTGTATTAATACAATTATGCAAAATCTGAAGTTAACTTTTACAAATTCATAATGATGCATGCCAGGAAATTCTCTTCTCCAATATTTGGGTGGCCCAACCGATGCTGTCAGCCTCACATTGACACGTAAATTGATAACAGAACTAATTTGATCGAGAAATAATCCATCTTTATTACCCTCTTTTCCTTGATATTTTTATAGTCATGGTTCTACAACTGAATCTAATCTTGAAACGCTGAAAAAGAAAGAATTCAAAAACACTATGGCAAAGTCAATCACGTAATGTCAATGAATAAAGTTGAAATGCTGATTGAAACGTTGATTGAAACAGTAAAACGTTGAGATAGAAATGGGTGTTGGTATAGAGGAAGAAACACACTGAATTAGAAGAAAAGGAAAACATGTGTCAATAGAAGGAATTAAACTGCTAAATAAGAAAACAGTCAAGGTAAAAATAAGAAATAGGTCCGACAAATATTTTGGCACTTTCGAATGCGACTGAAAAAGATCAAATGGCAGTTAAGAAATGTTAGCATGATAAAAAAAAATATTGTAAACCAAAGTAAATAACAAAAATTTGATAAAAAAGAAATAAATATATCAAGTATGAGGTAATCAGGACCCTTCTTATGCTGTACAAAAATGGAATTTATTTAAACTGTTGAATTGATGGAATAGGAAGTAAATGACAAAATATACAGGAATGACATCCAGTGAATTGATGTCAAAAGAAAAGATGGTAAATGATCCATCATCAGCGAGAACAGAATTTGATAAAAAAATACAAATATGTCAAAGAATCATAAATTTCGAAAAAATGAGGCAAACAATTAAAAAGAATGAGAAAAAAAAAACTTGTCACAGAGAATTTAATAGGCAGAGAGAATTATGAATAGACATAGGCAGGATTACGCAAAGGACATTTAAAAAAGGGAAATGGAAGTTCTTATTACAGCGAAGAATAAATACATCAAGACTAACTATAAAAACAGCAAATGCCATTCTTTTTTGTTAAGAAAAAAGATGAGATTGTAAAAATGTCATTATAAGTGAATTCAGTAAAATGGTTCGATCGCATTACAAGAAAGGAAACAATAGAATTGGAACATTCATTGGCTGGGACGTTGAAAATGACATGTGTTCGACAATCTAGATACTATTCTTAAAAATCCAGCCTAACCTCAGCATCCAAGCGAGAAATCCGAATGTGAGAGTCTATGCACGCTGTCACAGAAATTTAAAAGCAAACTGAAATAATCCAAACAATGGCATTATTGAAATCACTACGAAAACTGAGGTAGCTTGTTGTCACTTGTTCTACAGCGAAAATTGGTTTAAAATTTCTCTCAATACGTTAACTACTTTTTGTCCCCCCCCACTTTTTTTGCTTCCTTCCGTCTTTCTTTCTTTCTTTCTTTCTTCCTTTCTTTCTTTCTTTCTTTCTTTCTTTCTTTCTTTTTTTGTGCCCCTAATTCTTCTTTCTTGGCCTTTTTTCTTTGTTTTTTCTTTTCTCTTTCTCACATTTTCTTCCTCTTGCTCTATAAATTTAAAACATTCTTGTCTCCTTTTACTTCCCTTTTTCTCTATCTCTCTCTTTGTTTATTGTGTACCTTCTCCTCCTGTTTTCCACTTCTTTCTCCTCTTGGAACGTGTACTCTAGATAGAGAGAGGGGGAGATATATCTAGAGAGAGAGAGAGAAAAGAAAAGAGATTTGGCGTGTTTTAAGCTTTCACTAGTTTGAGTTCGATCCTGACAAAGTGTGTCAAATGACTATCGAGAAAACGCCTACATTAAAACAATAGAAAATTTGGTTTTTACTCGGTGCTTTAATATCGTGGCCTTGTACCGAACTAAGCTTAGTGAATATCTACAATTTCTTTACTTTCTGTACATCATTTCTTTCTTTTCCCTTTCTTTATATTTCTTTTCATCTTTCTTTCTTTCTCCATATTTTTCAGTCGACCTCTTTTTCTATTTACTCAATCATTCTTTGTTTTTCTTTCTTTCTTCCTCCCTTTCTTTTTTCTTTTCTTCACTCTTTAGAGCTGTCTGCTTTCTTTTTCCGACATCACTTTTTTTCTCTTTCTTGATTTGGACAGATTCCGTGATTTTCTCATAGAAAAGACACTCTAAAGTACAAAACAATAAGAGACATGAGAGGGTGTAGGGAGAGAGAGGGAGAGAGAAAATAAAAAACGTAGGGAGGGGGAGAAAGAAAGAGAGGAGGATAAAAAAATGTAGCGGGGGAGAGAGAAAGAGAGGAAGAAAAATGTAGAGAAGAGAGAAGAAAGGATCATTTTTTGTTTTTCTTTCGTGACTAAACTTTTTTTCCCGTCTGACAGACACCAACATTTTTAACCCGCCATTCTCTCATCATCGCAATGTTTCCGTTTATTCAGATTGAAACTTTCAACATGACAAACTAACACACAATTCGTTTTACTCTCTTTCTTTGCTTTTTCTTTTCTTTTCCTTTTTTTTTCTTCTCTCAAACCCGGATCAAAATCAAGAAAACAAAGAAAACAAAAGGTTGTTATAAAAGCAGTTGAATCTCTAATATATGTTAAAGATTTTTTTTTAAATTATTCAGAAACGTTCACGGATAATGAGAAAAGCAACATACTGCCTTCTTGATTCGAACTCACACTGATAGGTTAAGAAACAACATATTTCGTAATGAGAACCTAGTATGATTTAGTAGGACTTATATTAATCCAACACAAGACGAAATGGAAGGACGATTATGCTGCACCAATTTTTAACATACGAAATGCGAAATCTTTTACATACGCTCGAACACCAACCTACGACACGAGCAGCAAATATGCAAATATACTCAGCATGTGAACATTAATTAATTATACAATTATATATTTACAAAATAAAAACAATGACAAGTAAGATAATAAGGATAAAAATTCATTTGCAAATTGCGTCATCTTTTGCTATATTTTCTATGACATCGGTCTCAATCTCTGAGATGATGTATTATGATTACTTGCATTATTTACATTATTCGGACTGTTATCCTCATCTGCATTGCCATATTCACAACGTTTCGGTCGTTGTTTCTTCCAATCTTCGTCAGGGGATTCTCAAAGACACATGGTCCAGTGGATAGAAAACGTTGGTTAGTTCCAGTGGCTAGACCCAAAGAGTTGTGAGTTCAATACCAGGCCACGGAAGTGGTGAACCAATAAACTTGGTGAATTGGGTTAAAGGGAAATAACTGACACATCTGGAAGAGGCATGGTACGTGGAACTAGAACTCTACCCCGGTAGACAAAATAAAGGGTTCGTTTCGAAATACCAATCACCTGAAGAATGCCTGCCGTACAACGGCTGAAACGTTGTGAATATGGCAATGAAGATGAGGATAACAGTCTGAATAATGTAAATAATGCAAATAATTGTCATTCACGTTGCGAAGAGTCAGTAATATTCCAAACTTTCACCAGAAAAAAAATATTATTTATCTATCATTTTTCTCTCTAAATCTGTCTGTCTATCTGTCTGTTTATCTCCGTGAAATGCTCAAGATCTGGAGGATCATGAGTCTCCATTGTCTTTTGTTAATTTTAACAATTCTTGCTTTTTTACGACCTTCCTTCGCCTTTGTTCTTCGATATCTTTGCCTCGTTTTGTCAAGTCGCTTGCTCACCGTTTTTCATCGCTTTTCTTACTCTGACATGTCGTTGAGTGTGAAATCACACGGAGCCTTCTTTCCATATTTTTAGAAATTTACCTGTCACTTTCTGATTGTTCCCAACATCTTCTTTGTCGCTGCTATTCTTATTTAAAATCTGTCATATAGTCTGTCTATCTGTTCGTAAGCTTCGTTAGTTGGACCACATCTCTGCCACTTGAAGTCTGTTTTTCATTTGTAACAAAATTGTCCAACTCTCACGGTTACATAGGTTAGATATTATATGACATTTTCTTTCTTTTTTAATGTTGTACTTGAACGTCATAATTGCTTATCAAGATTCTAAAAAATACATCTTTTTTCTTAGGCACTTTCAAATTTCTGTTATAATTTCCGTCGTCTGTTGAATTTCCGCGTTTAATTATTGTAAGATTTTATGTATATTTCTTAATATATATATATATATATATATATATATATATATATAATGATAAACTATTGATTTAAGGTATGCTATACTTATGGGTTAAAGTGCTCAATATAAGGGATAGAGCGGATGTAAATATAAGAATGGACATTAAAGTCAACACCCAGCAGTTACAGTCTGTTTCATGCTTAAACGCAATCGTCTCATGGCCTTAAACATGAAACAGATTGTCGTCTATGTGTTGACTTAATATATATATATATATATATATATATATATATATATATATATATTATAATATATATATATATATATATATTGATTTTCCTTTCTCGGCCGTGCGCCGATAGCTTAGGGTAGGGCCTGAATGATGCCAAATTGGTCGGGTTTCTATCCTAGGTTGAAGCAATAGCATGTCTAACCACACTGATGAGCTGTGATACAGTGAAACAGACTTGTATGTGGATGACTATATATATATATAAAACCTTTTTCCACTGTTGTCAGCGGTTGATTTTTGAACCTAAGACAATGTATTTCGAATATCGTTTTTTTAAAAGAAAACTGACTGTCCCCTCCCCGGATTTGGCGCAAAACTGTCTTCCAATCTTTCATCATTTCCCATTGAAAAAAAATATTAACATGTACCTTTAAGCTCATTGTACAATTCTGTGATAAAATAATTTCTGTGTTTCCTTTCTTAACGTTTTTTAGCATATTTCTATTTGAATCTTTTCCGCTTTGAAGAATTTCCAAGGAATTTTTCGGATTTTACTTAATTTATGCATAAACGAATGTCGCAAATGATATTCGCTGATAAAGCGAAGCGAATGCAAAATGTGGGTGGTGACCATCGGATATAAACGTTCATATGCTGGTGTCAGAGATTGACAGGGTATTTTTTTGTGCAGCTCATGGAAGGGTGGAGTATGATGTGGGTATGAGCAGTTGGTAAAACGTGTAGGATATCCGTCTCCGGTGTACTGGGCACCCGGTGAGGCTGACACAAAACTTGGCCAACAAAAGCATTTGTTTGGACTCGTACAACATGTGGGCCTTTGTTTACATGTTAAGATTTTTATCAGCTCGTCTTCATCCGTTTTTTTACGGATTGTGTCAGTTTTGGGAAGGAAAATAAAGTAGCGAAGAAAGAAAGAAAGAAAGAAAGAAAGAAAGAAAGGGAGGAAAAACACGAAAAATCACCCCCCTTTCTTTAATTCAGAAGATTTCTTTGCACTTATTGACAACGCCCCTCTTCTTGCATTCCCTCTGTACCCTCATCCGAAACTAGAGACGTTTATACATTTCAGGATGTCCGGGTGTGTTTGATTTGTTCTACGTCTTCGGTGCATTTGCTTTCTCCGTGGGTTACTTGCTACACCCAATGGCCTTGTAATTCCACACCTAATTTACATTGCTTTGCAAATGCAGTGACCTTTATCGCATTTAAAGTTGTGCCAATTAGAGATAGGACTGACCGACATTGGAACAGGGCACAAGGCTTAAATGTGTAGATATAAGCCTATACCTATATCCATAACTCAAATCATGTGCTGGATAACGACCGTCTCCTTTCTAGGAAAGGAAAACAAAATTTTAATGAAATTAAATACTAGTCACAGATCTTTCTCTTTAATGAAACGCTAATATATACTAAGGTTAGTTTGGTTAAGTAAACGGTCAGTATATACTAACGTTTGACACAAAGCGGGATTACCAATTATTGAATCCTTTACAACAAAATTCATCTACACATTAAGCTTGCTCGTTGTTCCCCTGTAGCAGTAAGTTTAGTTGAAGATGAGCCTAATCACAATAATAGAACACACCATAAAAACTGCCCTCACTAAACAAACATTGGGCTAAAAGCCTAGCTCGTTAACCATCACTCTATAAGAAATACTGCCAATTTTTTATTTTTATTTTGTAATTTTTTGTGGAGAAAATGAGAAGCAAGTGATGACACACGCAATGCAGTAAAACGTCTTTTCTTTTATGAATTCCAGCCATAGCAAGGGAGAACTTTATCATCAATTGTAATGTTTGAAAACTCTGCATCCGCCATTGTTGGATTTATGTTATGAAAGAAATATGAAATTTGGAAAGCTTCATTACTTGCAAGACTCAAGGTCGATAACTCTTCAATTAAAATATTTTATTTGCCCGAAGGAAACTGCATTTTTAAAAACAAATGAAGAACAGAAAAATAGGTGCGAGCTATAAGTGTTCGATTCCTTGGCATAATACCTGTTTTTCCTTAATGGATTACTTGTTTGTTTTTGTTTTTTTTTTTTGTTTTTCAAGTTGACGTTACTACATGGATTTTCAAGGATTACAACAAATTGGAAGATTTGAAATTATGTTAGCTGAATTGTGACTAGAGTAACGGTCGATTTTGATGAAATCAAACTGGATTAGTAATGTTGATGATATCTTTAAAAATGATCTTTTAGGCGAATCGTTCAGTTATGTGAATGACAACTTGAAACGTCCTGGGAATGACGATAAACTACATCCGGCAGTAAGGACTCTGATTGGAAGATTGGAGGTTTTGAAGAGCGTAGAAGCACCTCAATAGCCGTTGTTCTTGGATCCACCCTGACCTGGGTTGGTAGCAATTGTTAGGGTCCCAGCTATGGGCAAATAGTGAAACATCAAACAAAAACCAACAGTAGAAATTTTATAATAAAAATCCCCAACAATACATTTTTATAATAAAAATGACCAACAATACATTTTTATAATAAAATGACCAACAATACATTTTTGCAGCAAAATGACAATCAATGCAACACCAAAAAAATATATAAAAATACATTTTCATAGTAAAATTAGCAAATATATTTTATCATCTACAAATTATATATCTAAAAAAAAATACCTTTACTCTGAGAGTATAAAATTATGTACTATTATCTGTAGTTGAAAATTTCAGCCTGAACGGACCCCCCACCCCCACTCCAGGCTAATAAAATTTGGAGGCACCTTCATTACGTATGTTTGCCCCACATCCCCTCACCATGTCTATAAATATATATATATATGTATGTGTGTGTGTGTGTGTTTAGATGATGCTTTTTTGGTATAAAATATGAGACACTTTCACTATTTTTTATGATTTATTTCATTAGCTACATCAAACATCTGTATGTATATAAAAAGATAGATCAAAATCTAAATAGGTCTCCCTTCAAGTGGCCCATTAGATTTAAATGATCCACTCCAACTATAGGGGCCCAAATAGTCTAAATTATTTCAAATTAGTTCAAAGGAGCCTCATTAAATCTGAAAAGAAACAAATCTCCTCTGTTCGTATATCTTTTTTTTTAGTTTTATCAGGGGCTCATGACTAGTATAGGGGTTTAAGGTCTGCAGTCCATATCAGCCCACATGTAAATCCTGTACTGAAAATCACCGTTTAATCATTGTGACTGGGATTAAGGTAGAACATGACGAAGCAGCTGATGGCGATCCCTAAATATGATTTTACAGACCGTTTTGAAAAGTAAACGTGACATTAGGATGAATGCGTGATGTCCTAAGCTGACTACTTTCACAGATAATAAGGCGCCATTTCCATAGGTAGGTTATATTTTGTTAGACTTCTATAGCTTTCTTGACAGAATTCGGATATCAGACTCCTTGAGTAGTCTGAAAATTTTAAAGAAAATGCTAATAAGTCTTCATTGAGCTGGTATCACACCTTTTTGTTAATATGAAAGGAAAAGAAAGATTTTCCTCATCACAGGAAGTATTCGAAAAGAGTTTTTCGTGATTAATTTCCTTTTCGTCATTGGTAAAACTCATGCCAAAATGAGGTTCATGAGTTTGTTTTTTTTTTATTTTTCAGAGGTTGTTCTTTTTATTGTATCAATAATTTCTAGCTAACCTCGAGTGTCTTTTCAGCCGAAACGAAATTAAAATAATATAAGCATATATCGTTGAATAATAACTTACCTTAATCTAATTCAAGGCTTAAATAATGACGCGATGCATACGAACTAAATACATTTTAGGTACCGTGTTTCTTTATAATCATTACTCTCCACAGCCTCCCGTTTTTTTTTTTTTTTTTTTGCTTCTTTATATAAATACTTTCACTATATGATACTTCAATGCCAATCTATTTGCACAAAAGAACCAATTAGGTCCCTTGCTATTTTCTCTCTTTTTTATAATCTTGGGTATGTGTATTCTTCTAAATGTAACAGATATATAGGAAGTGTAACAGATATGCAAGAAGTGTAACAGATATGCAGAAAGTGTAACAGACATGCAGGAAGTGTAACAGTTATGCAGGAAGTGTAGCAGATACTGGTAAGGAAAAGGAAATCAGAGAATTGAGTTCAAATTTCGGGACAGTCTGTTGAAATCACTTTTGCATTAAGGTTTCTTCTCCGCCCAACACCCAACTATGGGTTAAATAGCAGAGAAAACCTCTCTTTCTCTCTGTCTCTCTCTCTCTGTCTCTCTCTCTCTCTCTCTCTCTCTCTCTCTGTCTCTCTGTCTCTGTCTCTGTCTCTGTCTCTCTCTCTCTCTCTCTCTCTCTCTCTCTCTCTCTCTCTGGCCTTAAGTTGCAACCAGTCTGAGAGAAGAAAAACCTCTGAATTCAAAACCATGGAAAAAGCGATGAGAAACTACTCCACTATCTTTCCCAAGAAAGCAATATCAATTCACAGATAATAAAGAAAAGGTGTCCGTGGAGAGTCATGATCAAGTACGTGCTGAAAGACCTCAATTAGCCTCATTGTTGCAAAACTTTCCAACTTAATCAATTCTCGTGATTTTATTTCAGACACAGGTGCGCATAATTCACCATCGACGCTTCTATCTTATAGATTTTATTTCGTTCACATGTGAAAATCATCTTCCATTCAAAACGACATTGTTGTGATTGCAGAAAAAGAAGATAAAAAGATCTTTAACTTTATAGCTGATAATAAATACAAGGTCAAACCCGACA